TGAATCAAGGAATAAACGTGTATTTCGCAGTAATAACAAACTAACTACGTGGGATGAAGAGAAGCGCGGACGAAATTAATTTTATGTAATTAATTTTATTCTTAACGTCATTGAGATAATCAGAATTGAAGCAAAAAGAAATTTGATGACGACTCAGTTAACATCAATCGGCAATCTACGAATACATTTGGATATATACTCTAATATAAATTTTTTGGAATGGAATTTCACTCTAGACAGTGAAAATTGAGTCTTTCCAATCTGGAAAAAGAGTAGCTCAATTTTTATTTTTAAGAGTGAGATTTCATTTTTTAGAATGAGATTCTCTAAAAGTTTTAGACAGTATATACATGCAACGCTATAATATGCATCTTGCGTATATAAATATCATCATAATATCGTCATAAAGTTAGGCAATAAAATTCTTATTTCTTCAATGTACTGTAAAAAGAAGATTCTTTCGCAAATGCGTCGAAATGCCTGTTCTACAATAGAATCACAAGTCGTAAGTCGTAAGAAATTGGCTAATCACAGTTGAATGCGACAAAATAATCAACTACGATTGATTAATTTCTTACAACTTACATCTTGCAGTAGAACAGAGGGGACCAGACGATAGACACATCGTACTTTGTGCTTCGATGCAATAATTTATTTCGGTATTGTACACATTCATCGTTAGTCATATTTACAATGGTATTTACAACATAGTCACGTATGTACATGCCCATACACATTGTCGATAAGAGCGTGAAAGCACCGGGCCATCTTCCGTCGTCCTCAATCTCTTCGATTTACCGGGCGAGACTCATCGTGTCTCGTCATCGTTACAGCCGCACTACGCTACCTCGAGATCGGAGCTGTCCGTGTCCTGCTCGAGCTTCTGCTGATGCTGCTGCTGCTGCTGTCTACTCAGACCCAGACGATCGCCTACCATCACCGTCGCCGCAGTGCCGCCGTCATCGGTACGCTGACGCTGCTCCAATTGCAGCTTCCGGATGCGGTCCTGTTCCTCCCGCTTCTGCTTCCGCCACTTGGCGCGACGATTCTTAAACCATACCTGAAATGAATTTTTTTTAATTCAACGTAACGTTCAGAGGGACTCGTGTAAATAATCATTCATTCGACACAACAAAAATTGAGCACTGATTGAGAGAAATGATTTTGTTATAGGAACAAATCAAGGGAAAGCAAATATTTGTTTAAAAAATGATCGATTTGATTGCAAATTAATTCATCAATGTAACAAATAATCAATAATATCACTAGCAAATAACAGACTCATATATGTATATAAAAGTCGCAGACGATTGCAAGATGTCAAATCGTAAGAAATTGACCAATTCTAGTCAAGTATTCTCCCTACATTAGACTATGCTTGGTCAGTTTTCTATGACTTAAGACTTCACGAACTCTATGTAAAGCCTAAAATTTGTCCAAAAGATAGATTAGATTCTATTAAATTGAATTAATCTATATAATTTGCTTCTGTTATTAATAATTGATTGGTATAGCAAACTAGCGGCAATCATAATAATAAAATTTGTTGTCACATATTTATCGATCACTGGTTAAAGATACTGGTGGCTTGTTAAATTAACAAAATCCTTTCTCTCAGTGAGCGATTCTTTTTTGGATAATTAAAAATGCATTACTGGTTTTCACTTTTCTTATAGGCATAGATAATATCTATAGATATATCTTTAAACTACAATATAAATTGAATATTGAGAGGAACTTGTTATTTATATTGTTTAATTTCAATCATAATAACAAGAGCATTCTAGGAAGTGCATAAAATCAAATTGCTTGAAGCAACATTATCAAATGAAGGATTAAATAGGATTTATTTTGCTCGCGAATAAAAGCGTCAGATTGGTGTAAAAGGTTTGCCCTTTTTCATCAAAAGCCTTGCAAAAAAGTTAAAAACTTCTTTAAAAAGAGAGTATATACTAAAGTCCGTGATAGTTTTGCTTCGATTTTGCAAGTGACAATAACGAATAAAGTTTATTTTTGTAGCCGTAATTAAAAATACAAATTAAAAATACTCAAAAGTATATAAATAAAGTATAATATAATTACAGCTTTTCTAAAGATGAAGGCATGATGCTACCGATTTTTAGTTATATGCAATTAAATAAATTAAAACGAACATTTGCCGGAGCCAATTGAATAATATTTGAAAAATATAATATTTTTTAAATCGTGATTACACAAAATATATCAACGCTACGAAATATTACTTAACGAAGTAAGAAAAAACGCGTGAGAGACATCAAACGATTCCCGTCGCACTCGCGGGAGTTGCATTTGTCCCTCACGCCTGTCTGAATCAATCCGAATGAAAACCGACAATCAATATTCAATCCCCTACTCGCTCGTTCGTTTTGCTGCATTAGCTATTGTAATAGCTTAACCCTCGTTCACTTTGAAGAGTTCTCTCAGATTAAGGACGATGAATGCCAGTTTACTCCTCTCTGAGATGTAAAATTAAATCTGTCACGTTGATTGCGTTTCACGTGAGCCAAGGTGTCTCGTGTCCTGTCAGCGGAAATTTTAATGACAACAGTGTCATGCGTACTAAATTGATCAGAGAGTTGTATGCCGATGTGTATTCTGAATAAAGTGTGGGTGTACCGATAGTTTCCGAGTTGTTGTTTTTTCCGTGTAGATTCTCGGATCCGTCGAGTCGACGCGATCTTGGAAGCACACAAAACAGTACCTTAAGTTTCTCACCCCCTTCTCCTCCTTCCGGGTCGACCCGTTCCTAGCTCTTTCTTTGTCCTCTCCTGTGCTCCCTCCATCGGACACACCAAGAGTCGCTATTCTACTAATTCTGTGCAAACACCGTGGACTCTCTCTCCAAGAGGCGGCCCCAGGTACCAGACACGCAGGTATATGTTGTTCCCGTCTTTAAACAATTCTCGAGACTCGAGGGACTTTTCTTTGGCAAAGCCGACGCGACGCGGGTGGTCCCGCGAGTGTCAATGATTCTCAAAGTCCATGATTGCTCGACGGAATCATCGTTAACCCTGGATTCTCCGTTGGACAATTTTACGCAATTATCCGTTCACAATTCCATTCTCGCAGCTCCGGTGTTTTAAAACTATTGAGGTAACATCAATCGGCTATTAAATCAGTAAAATTTTAATCGATGGTAAGCTTTACATTTAGATTAACCGTTTAGACCAATTAGATACAGGAACAAAAATTTATACAATTTTAATTAGATACAATTCAATTGAGTATTGAAAGTCGACTTTAACATGCGTTATTTATATTTTGAGGAATCATCAATCTAAAAGAAAGGCTCTTTGTTGAATTGAAACATTACAGATAAAATGAATGTGTTGAAATATACAAAACGGTGTGTATATAAAAGGATACTATTTTCAGTCACGGGGTTACGCTGTGTAAAAATCACAGAAATCACAATATGTCGCTTACCGTCAGATTGAGAAGCTAGATCGTTAATTACTGGAAAAATAACGCTCGATCGGCGACACAATGAACTTGGTGAAAGGTAAATTTATACGAAATTAACGTGATGCGAAAACGCGTTCTCTTTCCCCCCCCCCCTCTCTCTCTCTCTCTCTCTCTCTCTCTCTCTCTCTTGTCTGCAGAGAGTACACCACTTTAGAGATTATAAATTGTACGATACGCACTATCCAATACACGTGCGCATAGCGCGTGTGCGAACGAGAGCGCGCGAGCGTATGTATAATTGAAGTAAACACATTATCGCTAAAGCTTTTAATCTAGCATGCAACTTGTTAGCTCAAGTCGACCGAGGCTCCGATAAATACCCACCGCGGTAAATTTTAATGACCGCGTTAAAATATTATGGGCTTTTATGCATTAGGACGACAAACACAGACCGTTCCATCCCACTCAGGAACGGCGCGGCGGCGGCGGCGGCGGCGGCGTGAGCGCGTAGTTTGCCGACATTACATTACAAATTGTGCGTACCGGACCCGGGCCATCCGGACGGTCAATGTTTGTCGATCCGAAATTCAATATTCCGTTCACGGCTCGAGAAAGTAATTTGTCATCGGCAAGCGGCTTTAAGCCTGCCGCTGTAGCTTCACCGACTCTTGCTCAGAAACGGTAGCGAGTCTCTCGTCTTTCGAAAAAAATGATCACGAACTAATGAGAGCCCATAATTGTCAATGCATACTTTTTTCCACG